GCACGAAAGGAATAATATAATACTCGTGGAACATCGTGCGTACCTAGGGAGGATAGGGAGAGGATGTAGGTGTTGGATTTTTTCGAACTTTTGTGATTAGTGTGAAAACAGCAGCCGCAGTTGGCAGCCACTTCGCCATAGATGCGCGATTATATACCTCACGCCCAAAGAAAGAAGATGCACGAAGGAATGATAACAGCCATTTTAATCCTATAAAAACGATCGTATACACGAGAATTCTTGTAATATTTTCAACCATATTATATCGAATTACAATACATATCGATCGGAGAGACATAATGTGATATACTGCCTGATATGAACTCATTAACCCCCCGTCAAAATGATGAAAAAATATTGAAAATCATTACTTTTTCGATTATTTGTTGTATAACTCAGAAAGGAGTTCTCTTTCTCAAATCGATCAGGGAAAGGATGAGAACTATATTTCCTGATCCGAAACTCATTGGCCCCCCGTCAAAATGATGAGAAAATATTAAAAATCATAATTTTTTCTATAATTTGTTGTATAACTCAGAAAGGCTATCGTGTGAACATAGTTCTCTTTCTCAAATCGATCAAGGATGGGATAGAGAATATATTGCTTGATTCGAACTCATTGGCCCCCTGTCAAAATGATAGAAAAATATTGAAAATCATTATTTTTGCGAATATTTGTTGCATAACTCAGAAAGGCTATCTTGTGCACAAAGTTTCCTTTCTCAAATCGATCAGGGAGGGGATAGAGAATATATTTTTTGAATCGAAAATCATTGGCCCTCCGTCAAAATGATGTAAAAATATTAGAAATCATTATTTTTCATTATTATTATTAAGAAAACTTCGTGCACACGATATTCTTTCTGAGTTATACAACAAATATTCGCAACAATGATGATTTTTTATATTTTTTCATCATTTCGACAGGGGGCCAATGAGTTTCGATTCAAAAAATATATTCTCTATTCCATCCTTGATCGATTTGAGAAAGGAAACTTTGTGCACACGATATCCTTTCTGTGTTATATAACAAATAATCGAAAAAATAATGATTTTTAATATTTTTTCATCATTTTGACGGGGGGCCGATGGGTTTGAAATCAAGAAATATATTCTCTATCCTCTCCTTGACCGATTTGAGAAAAAAAATTTTGTGCACGCGATAGCCTTCCTGAGTTATACAACAAATAATCGAAAAAATAATGATTTTCAATATTTTTTCATCATTTACGACGGGGGGCCAATGAGTTTCGATTTAATAAAAATTTTTTTTTTTTTTTTTTTTTATCGATTGGAGCGCACGAAAGGGAATCCCTATAATGTTCAAAGAACATCGTGCGTTCCTAAGGAGGATAGGGACAGGAGGTAGGTATTGGAATTTTTTTTGAATTTTTGGAGATTATATGTTGTTGGGAATACTTCCACAGGCAATGAATTCCAGAGTCTAGCCGTTCTATGGATGAAGGAGTCTTGATAAAGTGCTGTTCGACATCTTTCGAGGTTGACAACGAAAGGATGTGCTGACTGGGCTTGTCTAGTTCGTCTGATTGGTATTGCTAGTGAAGGGATGATTGCAGAGATTTCCGAAGAACATTTCCCGTGGAAGTATCGATAGAAAAGTGAAAGGTCGCCGACCTTTCTACGGTGTTCCAATGATGTCAAAGAGTGAGTGAGTGTGGCGTCACCCACCAGGCGAATGGCTCTTCTCTGGATGGAATCTAACAGCATCAGCGTATGTTTTGGAGCTGAACCCCATATGTGGGAACAGTATTCTAGAACAGGCCGTATCTGCGCTTTGTAGATCATGAGAAGCTGTTGAGGTGTAAAGTAGCTTTTCGCACGGAACAAGAATCCGAGTTTTTGTGAAGCAGCTTTTGCGATGGATCTGACATGATTATCCCATGAAAGAGTGTTGCTGATGGAAATACCGAGCATAGATATGGTGGGCTTGGTGGGGATGGTGGAGCCAGACATAACAATATCGGGCATACTGAGTTCCGCCTTTCTAGAGAAAATGCAGGCTTGAGTTTTGGTGGCGTTGAATTCAACTAGGTTGTTCGTTCCCCAGGCTGTGATTTCAGCAAGATCTTCATTGACAGCATTGACCTGCCTGCGCCGTGAGTTCTTAGTTTCCTGGGAAGAAATGGGAATTCTGGAAGAGAACGCAGTATGGAGGGTACTATCATCTGCAAAGCTGTGGATGGGGCAAGTTGTTACTCCCAACAGATCATTGATATGAAGCAGGAATAATGTTGGTGCCAAAATTGATCCTTGTGGAACACCGGAATTGATGCCAATGGTATCAGACGATACACCGTCCACCACCACGTGAAGCGATCTGCCTGAAAGAAAACTCGATAAGAGATGGCATAGCTGAGGTGGTAAGCCGTATGATGGTAGTTTGTGGAGGAGTCCTTCGTGCCAAACACGGTCGAATGCTTTCGATATGTCCAACGCGACAGCTAGAGATTCCCCGTGTTTTTCTATTGAAGATTGCCATAAATGGGTGACGTAGGCAAGTAGATCTCCAGTGGATCTTCGGTGGCGAAAGCCGTATTGTCTATCATTGATGATTCCTGAGCTCTCCAGATATTTGATAAGCTCAATATTGATGGCTTTCTCCATCACTTTGGAGATTACTGATAACAGGGCAATGGGCCTGTAGTTGTTGGGCAGGTTCTTGTTTCCTTTTTTGGGGATTGGTTGGACTCTAGCTGTCTTCCAGCATGATGGAAAATTACCCGACCTGTAAGAGATGGTAAACAACTTGCAGAGAATCGGTGTTAATTCTGGTGCACATTTTTTGAGGATAATGGGTGGAATTCCATCTCTATCCCCTCCTTGACCGATTTAGGAAAGAACACTTTGTGCACACGATAGCCTTTCTGAGTTATACAACAAATAATCGAAAAAATAATGATTTTCAATATTTTTTCATCATTTTGACGGGGGGCCAATGAGTTTCGATTCAATAAAAATATTCTCTATCCCCTCCTTGATCGATTTGAGAAAGAAAACTTTGTGCACACTATAGCCTTTCTGAGTTATACAACAAATAATCGAAAAAATAATGATTCCTAATATTTTTCTAAAATCTAAAAATTTCCATAAGAAAAAACAAAGTTATTCAAATTATCTCGAAAACGTAGGAAGATATATTTCATTGTTCTATTTTTTATTCAAAAGTTCTTGAAAAAGTGCTCAGGAAATATCAAAGCCAGAATGCCGTAAGTTTTCAGATAACGGAGATACAGGGGATTGTCTAAAACGCACCATTTTGGTTTTTAGCAATTATTTCAAAAACATAAAACGATCGAAAAAATGTGATGGCAATTCTGAGATAGTAATAGAATTCTGAGAAACATTGCTCATTCGAACGTTTGCCGGGTCAGTTATAAATTATAAATGAATGGCTGAGTTTCTGAAATAATACAATTGTATCCAATATCCGAATGAATATAAATAACGTTTCATTCATTTCATCCTAAAATGCCCTATGCTTTCAATTTTATAACCGTACTGCGCCAAGCTGTTCTAAAAATAGATAAGATGAGACAAGTAAAATGAAAATAATGAAATGTTTGAGTATTCTGTGGCAGTGGCCAGCGGGCGAAATTACCACCTGAATACATGCTTGCAAATTCGCCGTGGAAGGGGTTGTGATGTCTCCGCCTACCGCCGTCACCCTCTCGCACCTCATTCCTCAGGTGATCCCCTAGCAGAATGAGTGAAATGGACTCTTAAATTATAATAGTATTGAATATTTTTTGTTCAATTTTATTATTTAATTTTAAATAATACATTGAATAATCAAACTTTCTATTATATACCAAAAAGGTATTTGATGATCCTATCTACTTATGTTCTATCATATCTACGATTATTTTTCATATCCGAATAAGATTCAAAGCAATTTCAATTTCCTACCTGCTCTCCCTTTCTACCCCATGCACGTGCGCTCTTCCTTGAACATTTCCTTTCGAGCGTTCCGAAAGATAAAAAAAATATTTCAAGAAGCTACCATCAGCCACGCCTAGACCAACCCTGTAAAGTATTCTTTACTTGCCGTAATAGTGCCTCAGTGCCTATACAATAGTCATCACACTTACTTCCAGCTTCATAACATAATATATTTATATCTTCTAACTAACCGGTCGCTCGATCGGTGCCTTCCGCGATAAAAAACAAAGCCCATAAAGAAGTAAATACAGGTTCGTGGAAAGAATGCGCTTCGTATTTGAACCCAAAATGGAAGGAGCATCCGAAAATTCGACACTCAATCAAATCGAATGTAATTTAGGATTATATTAGATTGAAAACTCATTTGCATAATTTTATTAATGTGGAAATAATTATGTATCAGGGCGCTATAAATATTTGAAGCGACACCTGTTGAAAATCTTTATAATACTAACATCGTCAACATGAAGAAACAAGAGAATTCTACATCGGTTTCTCGATGTTGGATTTTTATTCATGTGTATCACAGTTTTTCAACCGTAGCGACATCTCTTAGAAACGCCAGGCGAGTGCGGTGAATCGTTCGTCTTAAAAAAATCTTGAATAGCTTCAGTAATTTTTGAGCTATCAGGAAAAACTGAAATTTTGTATCTTCGTTTTTTCTCGAATATCTTGAAAATTATTGATTGTATGATAAAACGAATTCAATTTAGTAATTTACATAAGCGCGAAGTCGAGTGAAAGATAAAAGGACTTGCAGTTCTTTCTCGGAGACGGTGTTATTGGCTTATTTTTCGGAACTATTGCACAACAAATGCCATCAACAGTGTATATATATGTGTTATATTTCCGGAAAAAAAATAACACTTTTTCCCACTGGAAAAAGTAGTATATGAAAAGTGACATTTTATGACCTGTCAACAGAGATGAAATTTCAAACTTCCTTTTCGTCACAGAGAAAAAGACTTATTTTGACCTGCAAAATGAGTCCTAAAAATCTTGATACTGAATTTTGAAAAACCCTGTATATTTTTTTCAAGGAATGAAGGGCACCAACGTCTGAAGCGTTACTTACATCCGGTGTGCAGGATGTGCGACAAAGAGTTTCCCTCCAGGATGGAGTGGATCGAGCACTGTCTGACGCCCGAACATTTGAGGAAATTGAACGAGGTGCTCAATGCGAAAACAGGAAGTGCAGGTTAGTGCATCTTATTTTTCACTGGTTTTGTTATTCACCAACCGTTTTTTTTTTTTCAACACTTATATTTAGCTTGGTATGTATGTAACACGGAATCTTTGAACGTGATTTTGACCCATTTCAAAACGACAAATTGAATTGAAACTTTGCATACCTATCAAGAACCGATGACAATAGCATAATTTAATAGTTTTGTACTATTATCCTGATCAGGATATTCAGGCTCAGCTTTTTTTTTATTCAATAAACTGGTGAATGACGTTCCGCCACCAAAATTTCAATATGTTCTTTCATCAAAAATTCAAATTTTCCTTTGTTTGACTCGCAAATTTTGTTTTTTGTTTTTTCTCGGCTTCGCTAAATAATCACAATGTTCTTTCATCCAAAAACACAGCAGTACTTTATGAGTAGTTACATTCAGAGAGGCAAGTGATTTTGACCCACTTCAAAACGTCATTTAAATTCAAAATTTCCCACACTTTTCAAAGACTGATGACAATAACATAATTTAATAGTTTTATTTTTCACTTGTCCATTACTGCTTATAATACCTTGGCAACAGTTTCTATCAACAGACCCATAAAGTCTGGGGCGTTATGGAGGGCATTATGAATCATAACGCCCGCTAATTGTTTTTTTCTGTACATAAAATTACATACACTTGAAATTCTTGAAAGTACAATAATCCTTGTCGTATATACACGAGTCTGGATTTCTTCAACATTATTATGAATTGACTCGGCCGTTACTTGGTGGCAATCCATAGCAAATGTGAAAAACTTCACAAACGATGAGATTTCCAACGCTAATACAGTAGCTTTATCAGGTGAAATACTGGTACAATGAAATGAACTAACCTTGGTTTGCCTAAACATATATCCTACTTTCCCAACCTGAAGGATTAGAATTACTTGTGGAAAGATTCGATAAACCTTTATTTTTGGAAATTAGGCACAATATCTACATTAATATATGGTGTAACTGATTAACTTGAAAGGGTTGATAGCAAATACATATTATTACCTACTAAGAAAACAAATTCAACAGTGGTGAACTATTGAGGTCTAGTTGATCTTTAAGTGAAATGTTTGAATTCTTGAGTCAGTTGATTTCTAATGATTCAAAATGATTGAGTTTTATTCCTTTACTTTCTACGTGTAGAATTTCGAAATCATCATCAAAACTTTGGTTTTGATGATAATTCATCTAATGTTCATGACTGCGCTGATTAAACGTACGACCTGTCTGATAGATATATACCTTAGTGCAAGATCCACAGTTGTATACCCCTGATTTTTCGAATTTAAAAGTGTGGTCTTTATAATTTTTGATGAACCCTCAAGGTTCAAATTCAATAAATCAGGGGTATACAAACTCAACTGTGGATCTTGCCCTAAGGTATATATCGGTCAGACAGGTCGTACGTGTAAACAGCGCATTCCTGAACATGATATGAACTCTCTTGGACTAAATCCGGTTCGAAGGACCAAAATGTGCGATGCTTGATAGCTAGTGGACTGTATCTGTATGGTTATATTATGATATGTGATAATGAAATAAAGGTTGATATGCAAGTCGGATTTCATTGATCAATCTTCATATACAGGGTGTTATTTAAGTACGTGGCCAAACTTGAAGGGGTGATTCTTTGAGTGATTCTAAGACGAAAAGTTCATATAAACATAGGTCCGGTAATGCTTCGTTTTCAAGATAAAGGGTGTCAAAATTTTTAAAAGAAATCGTTTTTTTCGTTAATATGAGTGAAAGAATTGAAATATGACTTCCATGTAATATTAATTGTTCAATCATAAATAAAAATGTCTTTATTGCATGTCCATGGACAACAATGAGCCCATTTTGCAGCACGAGTCGAAGCCAAGAGCCGAAGGCAAGTGCTGCAATACATACATATTTTTTGTTTTTTCATTGCATTAATTTTGATAGGAAATTCTAAGACTAGAATAGAGTATTAATATGAAAAAATATTAGTAAGACCCCAGTTTTTGATGGTTTAGTAGTTGAAATGTTTTATTGTGTTGTGCCAGGGACGTGCCATGAAGTGATTTTTATGTTTTTTCTCAAAAACAAAGCAAGATACGAAAAAAATTCTAGATATAAAAAAGTTGTAATTTTGGTTTCTCAATGTGAAACCATTGTCGATCTAAATGAAAACCTAGTAGGCGACCTAGTGCGAGGAGGTATAATATTGTCTGTTCATTCAATCAAAATATGTCTGTCTGTCAAGTGGCGCTGAGGCAGAGAAATTGGAAAGAGCTCATTTGTTTATGTCAAAATAGACCATATTAGGTTGATATTCTCTTCTTCTATTTTTCTCCAATGATGTGTTGAACTTTGATTTCCTTTCTTGGAAATAACAATTATACCTAATCATTTCTTGTAGTATTGGTTTTCTATCAAAGTTTGTTGATTGGTTTGTGAGTGCGATTGTGTTATTTTGCAATGTCATCTGAAAACTGCGCACTCCAGAAGGTGAAGGTGTAATTGAATTATCAAGACATGGTTTCTCCAATCCCCATTGTTGTGAATTTGAGCCTCAAATCCCGAGGCATCAATGGGTTCACGCCATATTCATTGGATATCAAGGTGAACTTTTTTTCTTGAATCGCATAATATTTGAAACTTAATGATATTTATATTTCAGGAATGTGAGTTTTTGAAGTAAACGACCATGATACTATATGTTTCCAACATTTTAAGGGAACTGTTTCTTGCCAATGAAGAATATAGGAAACGATTTTGGAAAGAGAGTATGGTTCCAAGTTTGTTCAAGGTAGGAATATATAAATAAAATGGTATTTAACAAGTTTGTACCTATACTAACTAACTAATTATTAGTTTTGGTATGAAATTTACCAAGAACTTTGATTCCTCTAAAAGTTGTTCCATAGTCAAAAGTCATTAAATTCATTTCAGAATGGTACAGGACATTGAAACTAGGGACAATATTTTTATATTTTCAGACTCATCAATGTTGTTTGGAATATGATGCTGAAGAGGAATTCCTGCCTTAAGGAACACGACCTGATGATGAAGAAGCATCTGAGGAGGAAACGGGCATTTGAACAGATATTATAGAATGATAATGAATAATAATAAAGTTCATTCAAAATGTTGACTTGAATATAAATTAAAAAGATACATATTGGTATTGAATATTCCTGTGGTTCAATTTGTGGCAATAATAGACACATCTTGGCATATTTAGTGAAGTTCGTAGCTTCAAAAAGATGATTTAATAAAAAATAATCATTGTTTTACTTCAAATATACTTTACTTTACTTTATATTGGCACAATATATATAGTGTTTTCAAACTTACCTGCCAATACATCTGTACAAGAATAAACAGGGTATCAGAAGAGAACAAACTATATAGTAGAATGAAAATTGAAATAATTCTTCATAATTATGTACAAATCATTAAAAAAGTTATATTGCCATTCATATACATACAAGTTATATTCCAATAAAAAATTCTAAATATCCCAGCATCTTGACAAAGAACCACGAACAATAGAATACCATATATCTGAGGATGATTCCTATATCTTGAAATCACTTTACTCTAGTGAAATTCTGAGTGGCTCACTACGAAAATGGTCCTGAGTGTGCTGGAGTGGAATATCACAATCATGTTCCTCATCATCTAATTGATTGCTTGAAAAATAGATGAATTGAATATACATTGGGGTGTGTATAATTTGCAGCCTAGAATGAAATGCTAGGGACTGGCAATTTCCAGCAAACAAATCGTTGTTCTTACTGCTTATCTGGATTCTGCTCATCGAACTGCAGGATGAAAAGTTTATGATTTTATTCACTGCCCCATTTTCTTGTGTGTTTTTTCATAAAATCTTGTGAACTGGATATTTTTGCAGCTCGACTTTCAAGGAGGTACCAATCTATAAAAAACATAATGATATTTTGTGTTTGGAGCCGAATATCCATAAGACATTGATGAAATAACCAGATTGAGTCTAACCTTAGTGCTTCTATATTTATTTCAGATGGTAAATTTTCCATTCTGTTCTCGAACATCATCATATCCTTCTGGTACATTCCTTCTGAACATTACTCACAAAATGATTTCTAATGTGATACTTCCACATCACTCATAGTTTTTTGTTTTTCAACTGAAAAGCTATTAATGTAAGTACTCTTCGCTGTAGGTAGGTACCTGAAATTTTCAAGTATATAGTGATTCCGATTTACATCACTAAAGACATGTGTTCACTGCAAATAATGGAATTTCATGAATTATATAGTAACTTATCAAAAATATAGAAGGAAATAAGCAGCCCCTACCTTTCTGCTTGGCTTGCATGTCGAAAAAGTGTAATAGCACTATTGAGTTTCCGAAGTTTCCACAGTTCCACACTTAATTTCAAGTTGCATCATAAATCATACTAATACAGCATTGCCTAGACATCTTCCTGCTTCCATTCAAGTATAGGTAGATGGTTTTCATACTTGATAATATCCTTCGTGATAATGTTTCATTTTCGGGATTCCACATGACAGATTTTTATTTACAAACTTGACAGGACCATGAAAAATGTTACGGTTAGGAATAAAAAATGAATAACTTAGTTTACTTAATTCACGTAGATGTCTCTGAACTACATATTTTCTTCATTTGTCTTTTCAATGAACAGACAATATTATAGCTCCTGCCTACTAACTACCTAACTAGGTTGTCATCCAGAACGACAATGGTGAAACAAATACAAAAATTGCAAAAAAATCAGTGGCGCACATTTTTTCTGTCAAAAATATTGGTTACAGTGCCTTCCGGGACGCCACTGGACATGATAATTTTGATATAGTTAGGGTTAAATTAGCCTTTCACGACCTTGAATAACACTGCCAAATTTCAATAAAATCGGTTGAAGGGTTATTAAGATATTTACGAAATAAACGATTTCTTTTGAAAATTTTGACACCCTGTATCTTGAAAACGAAGCATTACCGGACCTATGTTTATATAAACTTTTCGTCTTAGAATCACTCAAAGAATCACCCCTTCAAGTTTGGCCACGTACTTAAATAACACCCTGTATATACTATACATGGTAATACAGGTATAGTTTATGCAAAGTCAGTTGGAAAAACACATCATCGCAAGCCGTCGGTCCCTTTGAAAGTTCAAAGAGTGCGGCAGCGCGGCCCGACATTCCTTTGATGATCTGTTCAACTGACTGCATAAACTATACCAAACTATAATATTGGGACATACGAGTACTAAATAAAATCGACCAAAAAAATCTGAAAAAAAAAAAAATTGAATTGAAAGACGATGATTCCATTTTCGTTTGGTGTCGTTAGATGGCGACATAATTCTCACCGAGGACGACAACGAGCTCAACCTCGAGCCGCTGCTCGAGGAATCGCTGCAAGTTGAAATCGAGAATCCCGTGTTGGAACTCACCGACGACCTCAACGGCCTGCAGAACCTGATGCCCGCCTACAAACCGGACAGGGCCATATCGACGCAGAGCCTCAAACCTTTTACCGGGTTCAGGTGCGAGTTGTGCAACAGGAGTTTCGAGAGGGAGGAATTGGGGCAGGTGGGTGTCGTCTTTTTTTTATATTGCAATTTAGAGTTGTTTTGGTTTTGAAAATATATTTTGTTCCTTTATCTTTTTTATACTGATCTTCATGTGTTCATTTGTTGTTTTTGGTTTGTATAATAGATTCGAGAGTGAAGGAAAGTTATAATGTTTGATAATTTTTTCATGTTTTTGTAACATTCTAATTTTTTGCTTCCTTGTTACATTTATTTGTTTCTTCATTTCTATCCCTTTTTTCCTTTGTTTCTTCATTACGTTTTTCAATTTGTTTCTGTTTCTTTGTTGCTTTGGTTGCTTTGTTGTGTGACCAAATTTCAATCAATTCAAAATATAGTGTAGGTATTGTGATTCTTCTAATACGCAAAAAACGTGCGATCGAGTGACTGCCGAGATAGGTACGCGGTACCAGAGAAAAATAATTTATTTTTTCTACAAACGTCAAAAAATGACAAGGTTTGCGCATTGATAACATATTGCAAAGTGACACTTTTTTTCAGTTTCCTACGTCACCATGATACCTTGCACCAAACAATGCGCGAAGTAAAACAGTGCGCGAAGTACCTACTTCGCGCATTGTTATATATGTAAAATAAGTGAGATATTCATAGTTCAACTTCATGGTCCTCAATCGAGCAAACGACCACGAAATCATTTATTTCTGAATGTTCAACAATAACCTTGTTTCATCTCTTGGAGCGCACGAAAAGAAATTCCTATTATGTTCGTGAAACATCGTCCATACCTAGGGAGGATAGGGGGAGGCCTCTTAGGTCAGTTCAACACTATTTTTCATATGAAGCCAAGCATATTTTTACTCAAGAACTATATTTTTTGACGTTTGTTGAAAAAATATAGTTTGCAACTCGAGCGCGAAATACTTTGGTCATCTCGACTATTTTTTCAACTCGGCTACGCCTCGTTAAAAAATCAGATCTCGATCACCAAAGTAGCATTTCGCGCTCTAGATACAAAAATAACTATGTGGCGAGAACGATGGTGATCTGAGAAATATTTTACAAGTATCGTTTTACGGATTTCTTCGCATTGTTCGCTGAATGAGACAAATTTTTTGGGATATACGTTATTATATTATGGAAATTGATTTGTCTTGATGCCTTGATGAAGAAGGATTTATAAGTTGATAGCATAATCAAAACGTCTCTGAATGCTTGGGTTATCTGCTTTGGAGACGTTTTCGCATGGTGTCGTATAACAAATATAATGTATAGAGTGAACTAAAATATGAATGATAATACTGGATGATATTTACTTATGGTCCGAAACATCGTTGGTTGTTTGAGGATATGGAAATCGTAGAGATACTCATCTACAATCTGATGAAGTCATCCTTAACTTCGCTAGAGCAGTGATAAGTACCACCTAGTGGATTTTTATATTCGTTTACCGGGGTCATGACGAGAGATTGATTGATATTGATGAACTTATGTTTGTGAGACTATTGATTCAGTTTACTCAGTGAATGGTGACTATCACGTTGTAGTTCACAGCTAGGTTCATTGTTCTTTTCTTCCATGGATATAATAATTAGAATTATAAATATTCCTCTCGAGAGTTAGGTAGGTCACAAATTGAAATTTGAATTCAATTATATTCCCCTCCCACCTGGAATTCGTTTTTTTTTATTGAGTTCAACCTATAGGCTAATTCTTGGGGTCTTTTTAGTGGTTTTTACAAGACGGAGAAAACTTTCCGAATTTGGAGGTGTGATTTTAAGAAATCACTTGGCGCTCAACAGTTTTTTTCATTATTTTCTTCACCTACTCCCGGCTCCACTGAGTATTGGTCGGGGCACACCCGAATTATTGTCTTCCATGGCGAAGTTCGAAGTTTACCTAACAGTTGCTTTGTTGTTTTGTTGCTTTGTTCCTTCATTCCTTTGTTGCTCTGTTTATATGTTTGTTCTTTTGTTTCTGTTTTTCTTGTTCCTCTATTTCTGTTTGTTGGTTTTTTGTTCTTTTATTTGTTGTTTTTTTGTCCTTTTGATATTTTGAACTTCTATTGTGTCATTCTTCTTATTGTTTTGTTCCTTTGTTTTCTTGTCTCTTTGTTTCTTCGGTTCCTTTGTTACTTGCAACTTTGAATTTTTTATTGTTCCATTGTTTCTGTTTCTGCTTCTTCATCTTTTGATTTTCATCACTTTTTCATGAGTTCTTCTCTTGATTTTCTTTGCGGCAACAATAGGTTGCAGGAGTTTGCATTCAATTTTTCATCTTTTGTTTCTTTGTCCCTCAATTTTCATTTTTCTCATTTTCAATTATTTCAATTGTTCTTCTTTTGCTTTTGTTCTTGATTATCTATTCCCTTTTTTCACTTTTTTCTCTCGTTTTATCCCCTCTCTCTTCTCTTTTTTCTTTCTTTCCTCTTTAACTAATTTTTTTCTTTATCGTCTGTTATTTTATTTTATCTATTTTGTTGTTGTTTTCTTTTTTCTCCTCTTCAACATATTATCTCTCTGTAAGTTCCATATTTTCTCCTACTAAATCCTCGTTTTCCCTTTCATTTTTGATCTTCTTATGTTCGTTTTTCTTCTCATACAGTGAGAATCAAAAGTCCGTCGCCCCTATCGTAACTTCTTTATTCTATATATTACAAAAAAAATGTTGCACGTAGAGTTCCATTTTATATATTCAATGGTTCATGTTCCATTTATAGTTAGAACATTTGTTTTTAATGATTGTATAATTTGATTCTACCTTAAAGTTTGAATAAAGTTTATGGATTTTTTCAAATCACAGAAGTCGATAGTTTTGGAATTATGAACAATTGTAAATTATTCTGGACTAATTGTCCGTTATTTTCTGTTTTTACATTGTCCTTACTATTTTCTTTATTCGTCAATTTGCAATAAAAACTCAATATTTATTATTAATGATGTATATTTTCCAGAATTTGGACAGCAAGCTTGTTATCTAAAATTTGAAAAAAAAAAATCATGATGCAACGAGAAAAATGGGAAATGATGAATACTTAACTGATATCAATAATGATGATTTTTCAAGTGGACGTAATTCTGATCCCAGCTAGCAGACTCAATATTCAACGCATTATGTATAATATGTTTTTGAGTGATTGAAATTTGCTTATCCAATTTATACTCTGATGTAATCAAACTACATATTAATAAAGGGACTTGATCAATTTCAAGTTGATTTACAAGTGAAAAAGCAACTAATTCATCGAAAAAATGAATCTGATACAGTTGAACATTTTGTAATGCTTATTTTCACATTTCAGAGACATCTTAAAACGAAATTGCACTATCACCAGTTCATCGGGGCTTGTAAAAAGGCGTTGAAGGACCGACAGAGGAAAGAGAGGGAAGAGAAAGAGGCGAAAAAGTCGGGCGACGCGAAAAAACAGAATGAAAGCCAGGATTCACAGGCTGAAGGGGAAGCTGACGGTAAGTCAGGGTTGAAAGGACTCAAATAAATAACTTGAATCGCGAGGATTTTTTCAATTTCGATCATATTTCCCTTGGTACTCACGATGTTCTCTGAACATTATAGGATATCCCTTTTTGTGGGAACCAGAAAATGAAAAGAAAAAAGATTGAAATAACAATTTCTGATGAGATATATTGAAGAGAATATCAAGACTTCTTCTACAGTTCCATAGTTTTGATGAATTACTAGGCAACATGGAGTCCAAACAATCGAACATGTATTAGAAAGAGAAATTCACGTCATCCTATTTGCGTAAAACGGGCTATCAGGAATGATTGTTCACCAAATGTTGACAGCTGTCAAATAAGACAATTTAGTTACATAGATCATTTAGTTAGCTAGTTATTGACATGCCCACGAAGGGCAGAAGTGTGTTATATCAAATTACTTTTGTACCTATTATTAGAGGTATCCCTATGTAACACTGTGTATTTTGGGATGAAATAAACGCTAAAAAAAAATATCCCCATTTTTAACAACATTCAAATTGTACAGAAAAGTAACTACAGCACTAGTGCGGAAAAGTAACTTTTTCGCACGATTTTATCGTCGATTCCACTCAAATAGGAACAGAAATGAAAAAATCCCATGAATTATATTACCATAGCAACGCTAGCATTTACGGTTCGTTTATCAAGTGTTGCACGTCTCATCAGTTTGACAATGGTAAATGTCAAAAACAGAATTAAGCAGCAAATGATATTCCAGTAAGTATGTGAAGATTTGCAAATATCTGCGAGGCAGAAATAGACGAGGAGATTGACAAGTCAACTCCAGATGATACAAAAAAAAGTAGCTCCTCCATTTGGAACAAATCTATCGAATTTTGTAAACAATGAAACGACTTTGTGAAAATAAACATTCACTATTTATCTCTATTTCTATTAATGTTGAAATTCAGTGCACAATGGTATATGATATGTGTGTGCACTAGTGCATTCATGTTTCAGTGACTTGATAATGAAAAGGATTTCAACCCTTACACAATGTTTTTGAACCCATTTACGGAACATGAATTACTCTCATTGTTAAAAAACAAACTAAAGAATAAAAAATCGTCTGGTCCAGATGAAATACCGATGTTTATATTGAAAAGAGTTCTTCCTTTGATAATATTACCATTAACACATCTGGTAAATATGTCATTTGTGAAAGGTGATTTTCCAAACAAGTTAAAAACTGGTAAAGTCACTCCTATTTTCAAAAAAAAAGACACAACCCTTATGGGAAATTATCGTCCTGTAACAGTCCCTTGTGGTCTCTCGAAAGTTTTCGAATATGCCTTTTTGGAACGTCTTAATTCGTTTCTTGATAAACATTCTGTCTTGAGTAATAGGCAGCATGGATTTCGTTCTGAAAAATCTACGAACACAGCTATGTTCTCATTACTGAACAAAACCATAGAATACGTTGATTCAGGTGAATGTCCAGCGGTAATTCTTTGTGATCTTAGTCGAGCTTTCGACTGCGTCAACCATCAAAAACTGAGGTCGAAATTAGAAATGTATGGAATAAGAGGCGTATGTCTTAATTGGTTGTCGTCATTTCTTCACAATCGAAAACAATTTGTTTCCTTACATGTGAATGATGAACATGAAACGTGTAGAGTTAATTCTGAGCCGTTGAGCATAAACATGGGAGTACCACAGGGCTCTGTATTGGGTCCCGTTCTGTTCATTTTATATGTTAATAGTATAGACAGTGTTATAAAAGAAAGTCATTATACTGCATACGCCGATGATTTTTCATTTGTGATCTCTGCGCGTGATTCCAAAATCTTAGAAAATAAATGTGCTGGCTCAGTAAGTCAGGTATCAGATTTCCTGAACAACCATGATTTATTTTTTAATGTCGACAAGACAGAGATTCTTCTTATCCACAATATTCAAAACAAAATAGAAGGTATTAGTTTCACTGTTGATAGCATGACGTTAAGGAACACTAATCAGAGTGTGAGATTCTTGGGTATTTTTCTGGATGAGTTCCTTAACTGGAAGGCTCATTGTCAGCAATTAACTTCTAAGCTCAACTCTCTGAAGTTCCTTTTCATCAATCTCCGATCAGTTTTCAGTAAGGATCAATTACTAAACATATATTTTGCTCAAGTAGAATCTAGATTGAGGTATGGTGTTAGTTTCTGGGGTGGATCAACTGCTACAATGGAAGTGTTCATTGCCCAGAAGCGAATAATACGGTGCATAGCAAATGTTTCATCTAGAGAATCATGTAGAAGACTCTTCAAGGAATATAAAGTTTTGACATTGACATCTCTTTATATCTTTGAATTATGTGTATATGTTTTCAAAAATAAATCAACTTTCACAATGAATCAGAATCTACATAACCATAACACAAGAATTAAGAATCACTTTCATTTGTCGTTAGCAAGGTGTAAAGTGAGTTCATCTACCCCGGACTGCATTGGACCTAAAGTATTCAATAAACTTCCTGAAGATTTGAGGTCTGTGAAACACATCATTATGTTCAAAAAGATGTTGAAACACTATTTATTGGAAGCATGTTTTTATACAATTTCAGAATTTTTAGAATAAGATTAGTTTTAGGTATTATCGATTCTATTCTATCACTATTTTCTCTTCTCTATCTAGCTCTTTCATCATTTTCTACTACTGATTTATATCTTATATCATATTGACAATTCCCATACAATGTTATTTGTCGAAGTGGAAATAAAGTATTATTATTATTATTACTGAGAGGAAGGAACAAAAACTGAAACTTCAATTAACCATTTACTTGAAGTATAATTCATTTTTGTAGTTTTTATTCATGTACCTTTATGTAGGTATGTTTGAATTGAATTATATCTATTGAACACACATACAATAAGAATTTGAAAACAAAATCTTCTAAAGTAGTAAACTTGAATTCTCCTTCATATAAAGATATCCACATAATACAATAGCGAAAAGAAATGTCGATTTTGTCATTCATCCCAAGTTCCTTGTAATTTTTCTCTTTTCTGCAACACCTCTTCCGTCCTTGCAGGCGACCAAGAGATGTACGATCCGGAAGAGGCGACCGCCGAAGAGGAATCCTCCGTGATGGAGGTGTCCCAAGAAGATGAGGAAGGCGGCGACCCGTCGGTCATCAACAACGCCGATCTCATCGAGATGGTGGATGAGGAGGAGGAAGAGGAGGAAGGCGCAGGGGCGGCGGAGGGAGAGAAGGCCGTCGAGGAGGAGGAGGAAGCGGTTGTGGAAGAGGAGGAGGAAGAGGCGGTGGTGGAGGCACCGCCGCCGCCGCAGATCAAGCCGGAGCCGGTGAAGAAGGAGGCGGTCAAGAAGGTGGGTGTGTGGTCGGTGTGATCGTCGGTGTGATTGGTTGGATATACAGGATGTCTGTAAAAGGTTGGGACATGGCTCGGCTGTGCACTCCTGGGATGGAAACAAGTTGTTTTGGGCCAACTTACCTATATCCAAAATCATGTCGAGTTGGTACAAGGCTTCGAAGTTTTTTTTGAAAAAAAAATAATTTTGCTCATGACATGGCTCGGCTGTGGACTCCTGGGATAAAAACAAGTTGATTTGGGCCAACTTACCTATATCCAAAATCGTCTCGTTGTTCTGTGACTGTAAGTCACGTTTTGAAATGTTTTTGATCATGATCAGTTACCTGCAAGTGTTTCAAACAACCATGTTGCCGTACCAATTTGTTGATAAATTTTCAGTGGTCAGACTGGATACTTCCAATGTTTTTTCCAAAAAGATATTTCTTTCAGAAAATATTTTTTGTGCTATTAATTTTTGATAAGTCTCGAAGTTCATTTGCAAATGAATATTCTGATCTGAGGTGTCTTATGCATTTTTCAGAAAAAAAATCTGGTTGGGACATGGCTTGACTGTAGACTCCTGGGATAAAAATAAGTTGATTTTAGCCAACTTACCTATATCCGAAATTGTTTCGTTGAGTTGGTAAAAGGCGCTAAAGTGCTCACATTAGGTACTGAATAGTTATAACTAAATTTGTAACGCGAGAATTCATGTAAAGCCCGCAAGGACCAGCAACATATCAGTTTGTTTACAAGAATACATTGTAGCCATGATTAATAGTCCGACTAATAAGATTGATTTTCAAAAATGCGCAGGATGCATCATATCAGAAATTATTCATTTGCAAATGAGCCTCGAGACTCATCAGAAATTAACATGATACAAAAAATATTTCTGAAGGGAATATCTTTCTGAAAAAAAAAAAACTGGAAGTTCCCATTCCAACCTCTGAGAAGTTATCACCAAATTTGTAGGGCAACATGGTTGTTTAAAACACTTTCAGGTCACTAATGATGATCAAAAACATCTCAAAACGTGACTTACAGTCACAGAACATGCCATGCCAAAAATTATGAAAATCGATCTCGGCCTACTCTTTTTATGAGTAAAATAATGTTTTTCCAAAAAAACTTCCAACGCCTTTTTACCTGATTTTGGATATAGGTAAGTTGTCCCAAATCAACTTGTTTTCATCCGAGCCATGTCCCAACCTTTTACAGACACCTTGTATTGTTGTTGTGTTGGCTTTTTATTATTTATTCAATTATTGATTTGTTTGTTGGTTCATTCATTTATTTATTAACTAGCAGACCTCGCAAATGTTTTTTCCCTATATACATTATTTCTTTAATATACTTTTTCATTTCAATATTCATCAAGACACTAATATTATTTCATTTTCTATTTCTTTTTAGTTTCGCTATCTATAAAAGCGTGTTTCTTTAGTTTTTCTAACTACCATTCATTTCAACTTCTTTTTACTTCACTGGAATTTCACAATTTCGAATATCCGACTCCTAAAATCCCAGATGAAGATTTTGAATAGAATCAGAGCATAATTACAAAACTCGTCCGCAACTAGTCAGCTATGAGAAATGCGCTATATTTCATAGCATTAGTAGAAAAAGTAATTTATGAAAAGTGACATTTTATAACCTGCCAACAGAGATGAAATGCCAAACTTTTTTCCCGTCACAGCAAAAATATCATTATCATTCCAGGAGGTGGGCAAGCCGACGCAGACGTCGACGCCTCAGCGGCAGACGGCGACGCGGGCGGCGGCCGCCGGAGCGGTGCGAAACGGCGCCGGGCCCAAGAGCAAGAAGGTGGCGGCGCGCAAGCAGTAAGAGACGGGGGGAAACCGCCTCCGGTGCGACTGGTGTGAGAAAATCGGAATCGCTTTACACTTTCGCAATTTCACATGGTGTGTTTGCTGCAATTTTCACTGGTAATAAATACCATTTGACGTTAGGGTTGAAATAAGGCATGACTTTATATGAAAAAAAGTAAAAAAAGCCAGGCTTTCTTAGTTGTTTATTTTGTTGAACCGTTTTCAGTATGATAATATGAATTCTAGCGTTTTTCTTGTGTAAGTTATGATGTCACCAAATAATACTGTTCATTCCTGCTATGAACCGTTTCACTCACAAAAACGAGTGAAAGACTAGGAAAACATTGGGAAAACGTTGTTTGACAAATTTCTAATGGCCGCCGGTAGGCACACAAGTCTTTTTTGTTGATTTACGTAGCAGCAGTATAATCTTTGATAGATATATCAAATAATAATAATGGTTGTTTTGAATAAAAGTAGATATTTATTATCCTTGGACCGCTATAACAAAGATATTGCGATACGAAAGTATGTGTGCCTACAGTCGGCCATATTGATTTAGATGGTTTGACAGCATCTTGGATAGGTCAATTGTTTTGGATGAATATTTGGTCAAGATCAATTAAAACTTACACTGGTGATTCCATTACAATTACATTTCACACTCCTCAGAGCAATTCGTCAATTTGAAAAGTTATATAACATCTCCAGGCCAAAAGTTAGGTTAATGTGTGTGCAAGTCCAAAATTTTCTGATTGCCTGATCTGGATTGAAATCCAATATTTAATGTGAAGTTTAATTAGTGTGTGTGAGAAATATCATGCTCTTTCATCTCTACGCCGGTATAGAGGCCGGATGATGACGGATTCATTGGATAAGGGGGCCATACTTGAAGTCAAACGTGTTCCATTATGTTTACGCCGGTAGCCAGGCCGGATCAGCAACGGATTTGGCTGGATAAGAAGAGTACATACGATCGAATCTTATGAACACTGATGATAGGCAATCGGTGTTTTATGTTGCGAGTCTGAGTGATAATGTTATTACATAACCAAGTATTTATTCTTGAAAAAAATTAATTATTTGATCTGGAGAAATTCCTACCGTGAGGAGACAGAACTCCAATAAACTCAGAGAGAGGAAGATATTAATTACTACGTCACGCTTGAAAACGGTGCAAAATCAATCTAGAACACTGTTCAACAAGAAGAAACAACTTTGAATTAATTCAGACTTTTTTTTTTTAATCAATTCACAAAATCAAATTCCATCTACCTAAACAAAATATAAAAATCGCAACAAAGAGACTAAATTTTCATCTGTTAAAGCTAAACATGACAACGTCAAAAAATTCATTTGAATTAATTCCAGATGTGAATTACTTAAATCAGTAATTCATATGAATTAATTGGTGCCCCTGCTAAAGGTGTTACATTATTTCTGCTAAAAATCAAGATATAAGACAATTTCAAAATACGCTCTATTCATTCAAAATATTATAAGCAATGCAGTGTTGCCGCTTCTATCAAAAAGTAGCAACAACTTTGTTATTTCCAATAGAATACCCTGTATTTTATTGAATTTGTAGATTCTCCCTGAAGGGCTGATTTCATCAATTCACACTTGGGGTCTATCGGAAATGATTACAGTGATATAAGGTGTTCAAAATCGAGATTTTTCAACTTGAGGATTTTTATGTGTCGAAACTATTCATTATCGGCCAAAACGGATTTCATGTCCCTATCTTGACTTTTGATTTACTATCTACTGACATTGAATTGGTACAAATACAAGGTGATTCAAGATTCAGAATTCTGATCACCCTGTATCTGTTCCAATTAAATGTCGGTAGATAGTAAATCAAAAGTCAAGATAGGGACATGATAATGAATAGTTTCTACACAAAAAAATCCTTAAGTTGAAAAATCTCGATTTTGAATACCCTATATCATTTTCGATAGACCCCAAGTGTGATATATCGATGAAATCAGCTCTCCAGGAAGAATCTGAAAATGCAATGACATACAGGGTGTTCTATTTGAAATATTAATGTTGCTACTACTTTCTAGTAGAAGTGGCAATACTGCATTGTAAAGTTGGTGTAAGCTCGTCGTGACATACCCTGTATATTCATGGAACATGAGAAACTTTGCAGCTAACCAATAATAATTATTATGAAATCAAACTGGTTGGCAGAATGTACAAAAACGTTCAGCTCTTTTCAAAATCTCAGACGACATTGTAGCCCCAACGAAAAATAGTGAAAAAAAAAGTGTTTTTCTGTGATTGATGCGGGGACGGCAGTTCAACTATCAGAAATTGAACAATTAACCTGCAAATGATAAAGTGAAATCAGTTGAAAACAATTTGAGAAACAATCGAGAGAATTCGTATGACTTACCGTTTGTTAAGGAAAATCTTGAAATTCCATCTTATTAACAATTTATCGATTGGAAAAACGATATTGAACAGAAAGAAGGAACTTATTTTATCAAGATTCTAGGAACAATAAGAACGTCCAGATTAGAGATACTATATTTTCATTGTCATCGCTCGGGAAGTTTTCAGTCGACGAGCACTGGAAAGAGTCAAGTTGGAATACAGGGCAGCAAGAAAATTAATTCAAATTGTCCTGCTTCCATTAAAGTGACTATGGATAGTATTACTGGTACAGTCGGATGCAATGAACATATCGCAGATTGGCGGTGATGACACCTGAAATTTTCTTTGCATCTGACTGTACATTCAAAATTGTTTACATAAAAACTAAAAACGCATATTGGACATAAGAACGAACTATGTTACCTGTTGCTAACATTGACAAGAAAATACCCTTTAGTGACAATTTGGATGAAGTAAATCAACACAGTAATAATATTATTACTGTTGAATCTATTCTCCTTGCAATAAAATGAAAAAGTTATGGTGATGGTACTTTATAACGTGTCACCGAATACAGGGCAATCCATTTGAATTTCACTCTTGATTATCTCCGTCATATCGGCATACATTTTGAGTTTTTTCGTTTCTACTTGGGAATCGTCTTATTCCTTAAAAGCAAACTCGTACTTTCTACACTCAGTAGAACTATTTTCGCAGGTCAGAGATTCCAATTCCAATAAAAAACTAGAAAGACTCCACTTGTTGACCAGAAAAGATTATTAAATATTGAAAGAGTTTTCAGTTTGAACAATGACGCTTGTAAACATGAAAATGATAGCATAGAAGTTTGGGTAACCGTTATGATGGATTCCTGTGTTCGTTCTTACAAACCACAAAATCACACTTCGGAGTTATATCCTAGCCTGAAGAATGGAAGTTTCCTGCCAATCATGATGGAAAGTCAAATGTGAAATTCCGAAGAAATTTGGTACCGATTGTATATACCGGGCGTGTTTTTCATTCCATCGAAGAAAGTGCGCACTGATAGATGCGGTTTTTTGTCGTGACGTCACCAATTGTTCTGTTGGAATTTATGCTGGAAGGATTGAACAATGGTTTATACAACACATTGATGGAAACACGGATTTTGTTGTGTGTCAGTCATCATGTACAGGGTGGGCAAAATTGGGCGTTTTCACCGTCTATCTCAATAACTAGAGGAGTTATCGAAAAACCGATATACATGTTCTGGGTTCGATTTTGGAGAAACCTCGAATGGCACAATCAAAATTTCGATATCTTCATTCGTTTTAGAGATACAGGGGGAAATTGAAAATTTGCCGATTTCGATTTTATTTTCTGACTACTTTACGGTGACAGGTATCATAAAATTTCAAACGTATATTTATACAGTATGATGCGTGGAATTCATTGGCATCATCAGAAATTTTATACAGGGTGACGTTGAAAAGATACGGCAGCCAATTATGTTTTTTCTAATGGAACACCCCGTATATTTTGGCACAGTTGAATAGTCCCAGGCGTTCTCATTACAAATATATATATATAACCCTACCTTTTCCTTCCACAATTTCAGATATATTCGCAAAAATACATTCAGTGTGTCACATTTCTTATGGTTACACCCCCGTATCTTCTGTATCTGGAATTTGGACATCTTCTATAAGGCTATATTTTTCAACGCAACCTACTGATTTCCTAATTGAGTAAATTATTGGTCTTATTTCTGTATCTCAAATGTCTTGATAACAATGATATCAAATCGAATAATTTCCCATTTTATTTCTCACCAAATATCCATTTGTCTGGAAATAACATTCCCTATGATATTCATTTTCCACCTTTGGTGAATATATACAGAGTGTCATTTTCAACCTCGATTCTGCCTGTTGATAGCATTATCCAGAAATATAGATGATTTCATAGCTGCTGGCGAGCAGTGTTATCATTGGAGATGATCCCACTTAGTCCATGACTCCATGAGTGTATCATTTGTATCTTTCTGACAGTTGCGAATTTTTGAATCCTACCTCAATTATTTTTACAGAAGATACGGGGGTGTAACCATAAGAAATGTGACACACTGAATATATTGTTGCGAATATATCTGAAATTGTGAAAGGAAAAGGTAGGGTTATATATATATTTGTAACGAGAACGCCTGGGACTATTCAACTGTGCCAAAATATACGGGGTGTTCCATTAGAAAAAACATAATTGGCTGCCGTATCTTTTCAACGTCACCCTGTATAAAATTTCTGATGATGCCAATGGACTCCACGCATCATACTGTATAAATATACGTTCGAAATTTTTTGATACCTCTCACCGTAAAGTAGTCAGAAAATAAAATCGAAATCGGCAAATTTTCAATTTCCTCCTGTATCTCTAAAACGGATGAAGATATCGAAATTTTGATTGTGCCATTCGAGGTTTCTCCAAAATCGAACCCGGAACATGTATATCGGTTTTTCGATAACTCCTCTAGTTATTGAGATAGACGGCGAAAACGCCCAATTTTGCCCACCCTGTACCTTGAGAATCAGAAAAGGCTAATTCGACTTTATTGATTAACACTGACTCTTTCTTCTAAAATCTCTCAAGAATCTCAAA